ACTCAAGCTTATCTTGAGACCAGGCTAGAGGTATTAGAGCAACATTGGGGAGTCTTTTTTAAAACTCAACAGGAAATTGTAAGCACGATTGATGAGGATGAATGGCAGGAATCTGACTATTATAGGGAAAGTGTGTTTGATGATGTTGAGGAACTTTATATGGAGTACAAGTCTCACATCAAGGACAAATTAAATAAGTTTCATTCACTGCCCATTTTAGAATCACACACAGAGCCATTTCAACACTCAACTCAATTTAAATTGCCTGAAATTAAAATTCCAATATTTTCAGGTAAGTACATAGAATGGCAAACTTTTAGAGAGCTTTTTACAGGACTAGTTCACAATAACCAATCACTAGATGCAGCACAAAAGTTATATTATTTAAAAGCTTACCTAGTAGGAGATGCTGCACAACTTTTAAATAACATTTCAGTTACAGCTGAAAATTACATAAGTTGCTGGGAAAAACTCGAGCTTATGTACAACAATAAAAGGTATTTGGTCAATAACATTTTAAAACGTTTATTCAATCAAAAATGCTTAAGTACAGAATCAGCTCAGGAAATCAAATACTTGTTAAGTACTACTTCTGACTGCTTAGAGTCTATTAAGAACTTGGGTGTGGATGTCTCATCTTGGGATATTTTTATCATTCACCTAATCAGTGAGAAACTTGACAAGGAGACTAGGAAGGCATGGGAGTTAAACATTTCATCGGATGGGACTGATGAACTGCCGACCTACGTTCAGTTTTCACAGTTTTTAACTGGACGATTCAGAGGCCTAGAAAACTTGAATGAAAGGACTAATTCTGAGCGGGTTACAGGTAAAAGCTCACAATCTTTTCATTCACGAAATGTAATTTGTACATATTGTAAAGCTAGTCATAAGATTGTAAATTGTAAAAAGTTTGCCCACGAAACTAATGAAACTCGTCGGTGTTTTACTCAGAAGAATGGGTTGTGCTTTATTTGTTTGTATAATAATCACTCTGCCAAGGCTTGTAAAACCAACTTCAAATGTCATATTTGTAAGAAACGTCATCATACGTTATTACATCCCAGCGGGTTATCGAAATCTACGGGAGATAAATGCGCGAAGGGCGTTGATTCTGCCATGCGGGCGGAAGGTACGAAAGCTAGTTCAGGCACACAAGTAGGAAAGCATAATGAAAAGGTAGTAACATGTATTTCGACAGGACAATGTAATGAAACGGTTTTATTACCGACTGCCTTAGTTCAAGCAGAGTCGAAAAATGGTACTTACCGCGGCATGCGAGCCTTGCTAGATCAGGGTTCGCAAGGATCTTTTATAACGAAAGAGATGGTTCAGCGCTTAGGGCTGAAAGAGAACCCTAACGAACACGCCGTGACAGGTGTAGGCGGGGATAATAGTTTATCCACAAAGTCCACTGTGACTTTAAACATAAAGTCAAGGTTGGACGCAAGTTTCAGTATGCAGGTAAACGCGTTCGTCTTGAAATCGATAACATCTATCCTTCCATCAGTATTGGCACGTCCAGTAGATACTATCTACTTGTTACCGGAGGACCTTGCCGATCCTGAGTATCACAAACCTCACAAGATTGACGTCTTGTTAGGCGCTGAGGTATACAGCCAGGTCACACGAGCAGGTATAAAACATAGTGCAGATAGGCGTGTATTAGCTCAGGATACGACGTTAGGTTGGATATTTTCAGGCGTCGTAGATACAAACTGTCCACCTAAAACAGCGTCATTTTCAAACATTGCGGTAATGCATTTGCATGCAAGGAGTAAAACACTTACCTCAATGTGTAAGCGGCAATACTGTTTTTGTAAACCTTGTAAATAATTTTAAAAATGTATTCGGTTAACCTATTGTGTTTGTTAAAATTGATAACTTTTTCTATGTGTTATAAAGTATGTATGTAAATATTTGTAGTATACTTACTACAATGCCTCGCAGTAGGCAAGGATGGTTCTTTTCTGTTAAACTTTATAATGTATAGTTTAATGTGTTACCTCTAAGGAAGAGATTTTTTGTTGTTTCTTGTTTTCTAAAATAACTAAAGGACATTCTGCTATAATGTCCTTTGGCGGGCGGAATGTACAGGTCTGTCTAATGACGGCCTAGGAAAAAATGGTAGAGGTCGCAAATGTGTGACCAAACTCCTTGGCCGCGCGCCTGGCCGGCGAGAAACTTCTTTTTACTTTTTATGTTTTTTATCGATTGTCACTTTTTTCTCTTCTCACTATTATAGGGAAAGTGTGTTTGATGATGTTGAGGAACTTTATATGGAGTACAAGTCTCACATCAAGGACAAATTAAATAAGTTTCATTCACTGCCCATTTTAGAATCACACACAGAGCCATCTCAACACTCAACTCAATTTAAATTGCCTGAAATTAAAATTCCAACATTTTCAGGTAAGTACATAGAATGGCAAACTTTTAGAGAGCTTTTTATAGGACTAGTTCACAATAACCAATCACTAGATGCAGCACAAAAGTTATATTATTTAAAAGCTTACCTAGTAGGAGATGCTGCACAACTTTTAAATAACATTTCAGTTACAGCTGAAAATTACATAAGTTGCTGGGAAAAACTCGAGCTTATGTACAACAATAAAAGGTATTTGGTCAATAACATTTTAAAACGTTTGTTCAATCAAAAATGCTTAAGTACAGAATCAGCTCAGGAAATCAAATACTTGTTAAGTACTACTTCTGACTGCTTAGAGTCTATTAAGAACTTGGGTGTGGATGTCTCATCTTGGGATATTTTTATCATTCACCTAATCAGTGGGAAACTTGACAAGGAGACTAGGAAGGCATGGGAATTAAACATTTCATCGGACGGGACCGATGAACTGCCGACCTACGAACAGTTTGTTCACTTTTTAACTAGACGATTTAGAGGCCTAGAAAACTTGAATGAAAGGACTAGTTCTGAGAGGGTTACAGGTAAAAGCTCACAATCTTTTCATTCACGAAATGTAATTTGTACTTATTGTAAAGATAGTCATAAGATTGTAAATTGTAAACAGTTTGCTCACGAAACAAAAGAAACTCGTCGATGTTTTGCTCGGGAAAAAGGGTTGTGCTTTATTTGTTTGTACAATAATCACTCTGCCAAGGCTTGTAAAACCAACTTCAAATGTCATATTTGTAAGAAACGTCATCACACGTTATTACATCCCAGCGGGTTATCTACGAGGGAGAAATCAGCGAAGGGCGTTGATTCTGCCATGCGGGCGGAAGGTACGAAATCTAGACTAGGCACACAAGTAGGGAAGTCTAATCAAAAGGTGGTATCATTTTCATCGACAAGTAATGAAACGGTCTTATTACCAACTGCCTTGGTTGAAGTCCAGTCGAAAAATGGTACTTACCGCGGTATGCGAGCCTTGTTAGATCAGGGTTCGCAAGGATCTTTTATAACTAAAGGAATGGTTCAGCGCTTAGGACTGAAAGAAAAATCAATTGAACACGCCGTGACAGGTGTAGGCGGGGATAATAGTTTATCCACAAAATCCACTGTGACTTTAAACATAAAGTCAAGGTTGGACGCAAGTTTCAGTATGCAGGTTAACGCATTCGTCCTGAAATCCATCACGTCTGTCCTTCCTTCGGTAGAGGCACGTCCAGTAGATACAATTCACTTGCTACCAGAGGATCTTGCCGACCCTGAGTATCACAAACCTCACAAAATTAACGTATTGTTAGGTGCTGAGGTATACAGTCAGGTCATGCGAGCGAGTATCAAACGCAGTGCAGATAGGCGTGTATTAGCTCAGGATACGACGTTAGGTTGGATATTTTCAGGCGTCGTAGATACAAACTGTCCATCCAAACACAAGTCATTTTCCAACATTGTGGTAATGCATTCACATGCAAGGAATAAAACACTTGCCTCAATGTGTAAGCGACAATACTGTTTTTGTAAAACTTGTAAATAATTTTAAATTGTATTCTGTGAACCTATTGTGTTTAAACTGTGTTATAAAGTATGTATGTAAAATATTTGTAGTATACTTACTACAATGCCTCGCTGCAGGCAAGGACATTTCTGTTAAACTTTATAATGTATAGTTTAATGTGTTACCTCTAAGGAAGATATTTTTTGTTGTTTCTTGTTTTCTAAAATAACTAAAGGACATTCTGCTATAATGTCCTTTGGCGGGCGGAATGTACAGGNTATTTTACACCACAAAGCCTTTCAATCAATAATCTCTCGTAGTGTCGGTGACGTATTTCGTTATCGAATTTTGTCGAAACGACTCGAAGACGAAAGTTGTTCATGCTAGAGGTACAGAATACTCGTAGTTACGTAGTCGTAAACTTTAACAATAATTTGAAGGATTCAGTCTGCTGATAGGTGTTTGCTTTGGTGGTCGTTCCCGTCTGTTAGCACAGCTCTGTGCCCGACTATTTGCCGAGCTTGCGACGTGTGATCACGTGTGATTCCTCGGTTCACTTCTCAGTAAGGACGCCTATACCAACCGGGTGATGCGTTAATTTATTAGGGGAGCCCTATGTTCAGCAGTAGACTTTCTGTGGCTGAAATGGTGATGACGATACTAATTTAATCTACAATAATAATTAGTTGTAAGAATAAACCCTGAACCTACAGAACCGAGACTAAAAATTCCTTTTCTCGTAGAAAGCTACATTATTCCTTAGTGACATTAATGTCTGTAGTAGCGAAATGTAGAGAAACGAATATTTTTTTAATAAAGCATTTTCATTACCCAAAATGACGACGTGAAATGAAAAATCAAATATTCTTGATAATTTTACTGAAGTTTTAATAGATATTTGATTTTTCTGAATAGGTACAATTTAAGGCGTGGTCACACACAACATGCAAACATTTATTATCAGCAATCAGTCAAAGTATGGGGGTGTAAAGTTTTTGACGAATTTGATATTGTTCCTGTAGGTAAAGCATTTGAGTAGTAGAATCAACCTTTTTATTTGATCAAGCATTATTGACGAATATTCGCATGTTGCAGACGCGCGCGCCGAGCTATGAAGTAGCGTAGTGCCCGATGAGTGCGCGCGCGCGCGGCCCGTCAGGATGAGCGCGCGATGCCGCGACGCCGGCGCCGCCTCGCCTCGCGCGTGCGGGCCTACGCGCGAAGCCTGCTCGCCTTCCTGTTCAGCAACGTCGGCGTCATCGTGCTGGTCGTGGCCTACACTATCGCGGGTGAGTGCTGATACAATGACTCATTGTCTCTCATTGTCAGTGATACTGGCGAGTGACAGGGTCGGGCAAAGGGGCGCCAACTATTGAGCTAAAGTTTTTATTGGTAGTTATGCTGCGGCAGCAGAGGGAATGAGAAATAGTACTCCTATATTACAAGTGTAGGTATTTTGCTCAAACTGAAATTTCTCTATTAATAGACCATTTTCCAATAAACATTTTGTTCTATTAGTATACATACGTACACGTCCAATTTTGTTTAACCACTATCCAAATCCTTAATTTCAGCATAGTTCACATGAATTTTCTAGTTAGAATGTTAATAATTACGTAAACCTTTTAATTGCCTCACTGATACCACGATTACGGACTTGGCGCAAGAACAATCAGGTTTCTTGTAATCTGCGCTACTAAATCAAACATTTTGGCATGGAAATGCCTTTGTAGTGTGGACTGGGCCTTAGCTGAGTGCGGGGACTTCAAAGAGCAAGTCGACTTTATAGTCATGTTCCTGAGGACATTATAATTCCCCGTAATTTATGTAGGGTTTGTGTTATAAAGGCAGAGCGCAGACGAGCGGTTTGGAGCTGAAGATCTATTCTTCATTATAATGTATATATGTATATACCAAGTTCCTAGAAGTCAACACCTACGGTACGAAGTTGGAGTTCGAGGAAGAATACGAAGTTACTATTAACTTCGTATCTTCAAGGAACAAATTCACAGAAAAGTAATTGGGATATTGCAGAAATTGTACGGCACCGGTATTTTTTGTAGGGAGTTTGGCAGATTTTTGACGTTTGTCAAAGTTAAAGTAAGATGGCGCAAAAGTATAATAAGCTATATCATTATACAATATTTGTCTCTACCTTATTAAAGTAGCTGGGAGACACGCTGGATGCAGGCCGCTCTACCAAACTGTTAATATGGAAATCATTGGAGAAGGCCTATGTTCAGCAGTAGACATCTTGTGGCTGAAATGATGATGATGATGATTTTTGCGTAGAGCAAAAAATAATGTAATCTAAATAATATCTATATAAATAAAAATGAATTGATGTTCGTTAGTCTGATTAAAACTCGAGAACGGCTGGGCCGATTGAGTTGATTTTGGTTTTAAAATGTTTGTCGTAGTCCAGGGTAGGTCTAAACGGTGAGCAAATACGCGCGCGATATTGTTTTTCTGTGACAGACAAAATTCCACGTGGGCGAAGCCGCGGGCGGAAAGCTAGTAAATAATAAAATCGTAGCTATTCTTTGTCGTTCGTAGTTAGTTAGCCTTATGCAAAAAATATCCCATCTCTCATTTTCATAATAAATTAATGACTCCACGCGCTCCAGTAATTACGCCTTAGCTCTGTCATTGATTAATTGTTTTAGTCGTGATTGAGCGCCACAAAACGAAAAGGTGGAAAAATGGCTGAATTTCAAAAGTTTCTTTCAACTATTTTTCACAGCCACAGCGAATAAATTATAGAGCTTCGTTGAAAATAGTACTTGTTTTAACTGGCTAGGAAGGTCAAGGAATAAATAACTTCCCTGTAAATAGAGTTGTAAATACATTTATTTTTGTTAGTGCACATTTTGGAAGCAGATTGATTGTAATATTATACATATCAATGTTATTTTTAGGTCTGTGCATATGGAAAAATAATTTACTTCACTGAAAAATTTCAGTTTGAGTGGGTTTTGTTTTATAACGCCAAGCGGAAGCGGGAAGTTGTTGGTTCGTTTCAGCCAAATGACGTCCATTGCTGGACATGCTGCAACTTCTACGTCTAAGGCCTATTGTCCACGGTCCGTTATTTGACGAATGCATGCACATCTCATGACGATCGTAAGATGACAGGTAGGGCGCCACGTGCCGGTTCGTGGATACAGTTTTAATTTTTTCTACGCAAGATGCAAGCAACCGTCAAGTGACGACAGCGTGCGCATGACGTGCGGTTTACGTGGACTAAAGAGTGGTGGTAGCTTTTAGCCAGAAAATGGACTCTAATGACATCTTGTAGTAATAATATTTATTGTCCGTGGTGCATTATCTTTTCTTAAAGGATTTAAACCTTTTTTGTTACCTGTCATCCGCTTTGCAATGGAGGGAAGTCGAAGTGTCGTGTGGAAGTTTCGTTGCGGGTCCAATGACAGTTTAACTTTCTCCCGGGACAAACTTGATCTTCATTGGTTGGGTTTTTATGGCGGTCAAGCTGTAGATCCTGGCTACACAGGAGTTGCAGTGGTGGGAACAAGAGGTGGGAATAGTCCCGTCAATCTTGTGTGCTATTTTGGAACAAAATCATTATTTGTTCACATTTTCGGAAAGAATTCCGCACTAAGTTAATTTGTAAGTGTCGTCAGACGTCCAATACATTGCTAATTGACGTCGGGATACTTCACGAACTTAACAAGTTCGACTTTCGTGAAATTAGTTTAAGGTCGAGGTTGGCTGACCTTTCTCTCATTTGCTGAGTGGATCGTTAGCTAATTATTTATCTAGATAATTTATGTATTAAGGACGCATTTACTGATGCGTCAGAAATAGCCTATTGACCTCTAGATTATGTGGTGATTTATTGTTATTTAAAAGTTTTTAACAGGTAGTGATCTACCACCACAGATAAAGATGCACATAATAAATTAACTACAATTCCCATAGTTGGGGAGAAAAACGAGGAAATTGTTCTTTCAGCAGGTTACCCATAATGTTACATGACGTTAATAATTTAAAATGTTCCACTATTTTGATAGATAGGCATTTGCCTTAAAAGATTTGTATGTCACCATAAAATTCAGAATGAATGAATTCATCTTAAATGTTATGTAATTATAGTCATCTTCACAAATTTCTATCTGGTTTCGTAAAACCAACTACTACTACTTGCAGAAGTAAGTAGTCTGGGAAGCTGTTACCTTTTATTTAAAATACCAATGTTGTTGTTTTATTTAAATTTGCCTTTTAACCTTTTTCTCTCATTCCAGGTGCCTTCATGTTCCAAGCCATCGAAGGTGGGAGCGAGATAGAGCGCGTCCACAACATGACGCTGGAAAGGGACAACACTGCCCAGTACTTGTGGCAGAACGTCACGCTCACGTTGAACCTATTCAATGAAACCGAGCTGAAGAAGAGGTAAAAATGAAACTTCATTATCTCTTAGATTTCATCACCATCATTACAGCCATAGGACGTCCACTCGGTCCACTGCTGAACATAGGCCTCCCCAAATGAATTCGACAATGGCCAGTTGGTGGCGGCCTGCATCCAGCACCTTCCTGCTACCTTTATGAGGTCGTCGGTCTACCTTGTGGGTGAAATCTCTTAGATTTAGGAATAGGAAATCGGCGGTAATGATTACTACATTGAGTTAGAACTAACAATATTGCTTAACCCAAAAACGAAAAAAAAATTCTAACTCGGTCAAAGCATCATCACCATAATTTTATAGTCAGTCACAGCATGTCACCTAGGCAGCTTAACATATTATTATGCCAATCGCGTTCTGAAACTGATAAAAACCAACTCAGGGAAAATATTCGTCCCAAAAAAGATCTGAAGGTGTGCAACTATTGTTATTTGAATTTGGGCTGGGTCCTGGGACCAATCCATCATATATAATGTTGGGTAATAAATAATAATTGATGTCAATTTAATTCGGTTGAGTGTAAGGTAGCGTAAAATTGAGTAATTGATTGTTCTTGTGATTAGTACAGATTTACAAAGTATTTATTAAGCAATAGAGACTATTTTGTGATAAAAATAATTACTGATAACGTACATTAATATCCAGCTTTTGAGTAACATTATCAGAAATTGTATAATCTTTTAAAAATAGGCGCTTCTTTATAATTCACTCCAGAGCTAACTGTGAAGTGTTTATGAAGTGATTATTACTCCGAAACTATAAACTGTGAACGTATATACGAAACAATCTCCATCTATTACAGCATTACGGACTCAATATACTCGATATTTTGAACATAATTTACCACAAACTTTGGAGCTGGGAATCGGAACAATCAGAGCAGCGCATTGAAATCCAACGAACTTTATGGGTGTATTGCATCACTGTTACATTCATAACGTCGTCGTCGACTTCAGACATGAATGAAATGCTCGTAAATGAAAATCAAATGTATTAATAAATAAAAATTGAATATTAGCTACTTGTTAGACTAGTAAACAATTACAAAAAAATAAAATAAACATAATTAAATTCTTCTCTAAGGCTAAAATTGTTTCTGGATCTGAGTGCATTGGTCCTCAATCTCAAATTATTATTTTTATTGATATTTCACGCGTAAAACCGGATGTTAAAAATAATATAGGACAGAATGGACACTGTCGGGCACAGCAAAAAATAGAGAAGAGGACGCAGACCTCTCTGCCGTCTCTATCTCTTTCTAATGATGATGGCAAGTGATGATCCAAGAAGAAGATTATGAATGATCCAAGATGAGGCTTACTCAAAAATATTTATTAGTAAAAGTGGGGCCCGGAGGCCAATAAGCTATTCACTGAGCTTTCCTCCCGCATCATCGAGGTTACCGGTAACCGAAGGCTGGGTTCTACCTTGAATACCTATCAATTCCCAACTTTTAAGTGACCCCTATGGTAACATATAACAGGAATTTTGTCACTTAAAAATTAGGGATTGATGGTGATAACGAGCTTAAGCCTCGCAATTCAACGCGGAAACGCTGCCAGCCTTCTGGGCACCGCTAACCTCAATGACGGATCTGGGGATACTTAGGATAGCATAAGTGTATTTTTTATTTAATTTTACTTTTATTTTCTGTAAATATTACTTTTGTATTTAGGTAGTTTTAATTTTTTTNACATTATTCCTTAGTGACATTAATGTCTGTAGTTTGCTAGACCGAGGGAAGCCTCGGGTGAGAAGCGAAATGTAGAGAAACGAATATTTTTTTAATAAAGCATTTTCATTACCCAAAATGACGACGTGAAATGAAAAATCAATTAACTTTTTTTCTTTCTTTTCTATACTTAATATTCTTAATAATTTAACTGAAGTTTTAATAGATATTTGATTTTTCTAAATAGGTGCAATTTAAGGCGTGGTCACACACAACATCCAAACATTTATTATCAGCAATCAGTCATAGTACGGGGGTGTAAAGTTTTTGACGAATTTAATATTGTTCCTGTAGGTAAAGCATTTGAGTAGTAGAATCAACCTTTTTATTTGATCAAGCATAATTGACGAATATTCGCTTGTTGCAGACGCGCGCGCCGAGCTATGAAGTAGCGTAGTGCCCGATGAGTGCGCGCGCGCGCGGCCCGTCAGGATGAGCGCGCGATGCCGCGACGCCGGCGCCGCCTCGCCTCGCGCGTGCGGGCCTACGCGCGGAGCCTGCTCGCCTTCCTGTTCAGCAACGTCGGCGTCATCGTGCTGGTCGTGGCCTACACTATCGCGGGTGAGTGCTGATACAATGTCTCATTGTCAGTGAGGGCTATCGTTAAAAATGAAAACGTTACTGGCGAGTGACAGGGTCGGGCCAAGGGGCGCTAACCAGTGAGCGCTAAAACGAGCTCTCATCACTGAGTTATATGACTTTTTATTGGTGGTTATGCTGTAGACCCTGGCTACGCAGGAGTAGCAGCAGAGGGAATGAGTACTCCTGTATTGCGGACTGTGGAACCTCCCCACTCACTCCTATAATGTGGATGCGGGCGGCGCAGGACCGGTCTTTGTGGAAATTCTTGGGAGAGACCTTTGTCCAGCAGTGGACGTCATTCGGCTGAAACGAACGAAAGAACTCCTATATTACAAGTATGAGTATTTGCTTAACTGAAACTTCTCTATTAATTACAATTTTCCAATCAACATTTTGTTCTATAGTATACATACGTCCAATTTTGTTAACTACTATCCAAATCTTTAACTACAGCACAGTTCACATGAATTTTCTAGTTAGAATGTTAATAATTACGTAAACCTTTTAATTGCCTCACTGATACCACGATTACGAACTTGGCGCAAGAACAATCAGGTTTCTTGTAATCTGCGCTACTAAATCAAACATTTTGGCATGGAAATGCCTTTGTAGTGTGGACTGGGCCTTAGCTGAGTGCGGGGACTTCAAAGAGCAAGTCGACTTTATAGTCATGTTCCTGAGGACATTATAATTCCCCGTAATTTATGTAGGGTTTGTGTAATAAAGGCGGAGCGCAGACGAGCGGTTTGGAGCTCATCAGTGAAGATCTATTCTTCAGTATAATGTATGTATATTATACCAAGTTCCTAGAAGTCAACACCTACGGTACGAAGTTGGAGTTCGAGGAAGAATACGAAGTTACTATTAACTTCGTATCTTCAAGGAACAAATTCACAGAAAAAGTAATTGGGATATTGCAGAAATTGTACGGCACTGGTATTTTTTGTAGGGAGTTTGGCAGATTTTTGACGTTTGTCAAAGTTAAAGTAAGATGGCGCAAAAGTATAATAAGCTATATCATTATACAATATTTTTCTCTACCTTATTAAAGTAGCTGGGAGACGCGCTGGATGCAGGCCGCTCTACCAAACGGTCAAGTTGGAAATCATTGGGGAAGGCCTATGTTCAGCAGTAGACATCAGGTGGCTAAAATGATGATGATGATTATTTTGGACAGCGATGAAATCGTAGCTACATTCTTTGTCGTTCGTGTTTAGTTACCCTTATGCAAAAAATATCCCATCTCTCATTTTCATAATAAATTAATGACTCCACGCGCTCCAGTAATTACGCCTTAGCTCTGTCATTGATTAATTGTTTCAGTCGTGATTGAGCGCCACAAAACGAAGAGGTGGAAAAATGGCGGAATTTCAAAAGTTTCTTTCAACTATTTCTCACAGCCACCGCGAATAAATTATAGAGCTTCGTTGAAAATAGTACTTGTTTTAACTGGCTAGAAAGGTGAAGGAATAAATACCTACCCTGTAAATTGAGTTGAAAATACATTTATTTTCGTTAGGGCACATGTTAAAAGCAGATATTATTTGTAATATAATACATATTAATGTTATTTTTAGGTCTGTGCATTTGGAAAAATAATGTACCTTAACAAACATTTTCGTGAACTGAAAAATTTCAGTTTGAGCGGGACGTCCATTGCTGGACATGCTGCAACTTCTACGTCTAAGGCCTATTGTCCACTGTCCGTCATTTGACGAATGCATGCACATCTCATGACGATCGTAAGACGACAGGTAGGACGCCACGAACCAGTTCGTGGATACAGTTTTGATTTTTTCTACGCAAACAAGCCTACAAGTTTTTTTTATCCTCAACGAGGAAGCTGTCTGCCTGTATCTCACCTGATGGTAAGTGACGATCAGGCCGAAGGTGGAAGCGAGCTTCACCCGGAATCCTCAACCACGGAGGAACTGGCTATCTTACTTCTAACTACCGGAACACAACAATGCTGTTAACATTGTTGTTATGGCGACAGACTTAGGTAAGGTGGTGGTAGCTAGCCAGTCGGACATTAGAAAAAGCCCTACCACCAACCCAACCGAATAGAAAAATCTGCCCCCACTGGGAATCGAACCCGGGACCTCTGCGTCTGAAGCAGGTGGTCTTACCACTAGACCACAGAGGCGATTAAAATTAACTCTAATGACATCTTGTATCGTATTAATAAGTGCTATTTTTGAACAAAATCATTATTAGTTCACGTTTTCGGAAAGAATTCCTCACTAAGTTAATTTGTAAGTGTCGTCAGACGTCCAATACATAGCTAATTGACGTCGGGATACTTCACGAACTTAACAAGTTCGACTTTCGTGAAATTAGTTTAAGGTCAAGGTTGGCTGACCTTTTTCTCATTTGCTGAGTGGATCGTTAGCTAATTATTTATCTAGATAATAATAAACTTCATGTATTAAGGACGCATTATTGATGCATCAGAAATAGCCTATTGACCTCTTGATTATGTGGTGATTATTATTATCTAAAAGTCTTCATCAGATAGTAATGAACAGCACATATGAAGATGCAGGAGTAAATAAATTACGAAATCAAAAATCAAAATCAAAATCTACGATTCCCCTAAGAGGGAGAAAATTGAGGAATTTGTTATCTTTCAGAACTTTACACATAATGTTAGATAAGATTAATAATTTAAAAAGGTTTAAGTATTTTGATAAACATCATTATTGCCTTATAAGATTTTTGTCACCATACTCGTAAAATTCAAAATGAAACTAGGTACATCCTCATCATCATCAATAGCCCTTTACAGTCCACTGCTGGACTATGAGCCTCCTCCACTATAGTGGAGGGTTTTGCCATAATCCCCACGCTTGGCAGGTGGGTTGGAGATAGCAGTTTAAAAGATTGATGTTTTTCAGAGAGCGCTGCTGCCCGTTCTCTGTTTGATGTGTAGTCCCTAAGTCGCCTCTTACATCCTAAATTGTAGTTATCTTCAGTTTCTATGTGGTTTCATTAAACCAACTACCCTCTGCAAGTAGTCTGGAAGCTCTTGCCTTTTATTTTGTTTCTTTTTGTCTCTATTTGCCTTCTGACCTTTTCCACTCATTCCAGGTGCCTTCATGTTCCAAGCCATCGAAGGTGGGAGCGAGATAGAGCGCGTGCACAACATGACGCTGGAAAGGGACAACACTGCCCAGTACTTGTGGCAGAACGTCACGCTCACGTTGAACCTGTTCAATGAAACTGAGTTGAAGAAGAGGTAAAAATGAAACTTCATTATCTCTTAGATTTCATCATCATCATTTCAGCCATAGGACGTCCACTGCTGATAGGCCTCCCCAAATGAATTCTACAATGGCCAGTTGGTCCTTTGTGAGATCGTCGGTCTACCTTGTGGGGGAAATCTCGTCAGTCACAGGATGTAACCTAGGTAGCTTTATTATGCCATTTGCTACAAAAATATAGAAAATCGCGCATATAAAAAATATCAATTCTAAAAAAAGTCTGAAGGAGGAATTTGGGCTGGGTCCTGGGACCAATCCATCATTTAGTGTTGGGTAATAAATAATAATTGATGTCAATTTCATTCGGTTGAGTATAAGGTAGCGCAAAATTGAGAAATTGATTGTTCTTGTGGTTAGTATTTGTTAAACAATAGAGACTATTTTGTGATAAAAATAATGACTGATAACGTACATATCCAGTTTTTGAGTAACATTATCAGAAATTGTATAATCTTTTAAAAATACGCCTCTTAGTACTTCACTTCACAACTATGAACTGTGAAATTTAGTATATGAAGTAATTATTACTCCGAAACATAAACTGTGAACGTATATACGAAACAATCTCCATCTATTACAGCATTACGGACTCAATATACTCGATAGTTCAAACATAACTTACCACAAACTTTCGAGCTATGAATCGGAACAATCAGAGCAGCGCATTGAAATCCAACGAACTTGATGGGTGTACCTATTCCATCACTGTTACATTCATAACGTCGTCGTCGACTTCAGACATGAATGAAATGCTCGTAAAGGCAAATCAAATGTATTCATAATAATAACTAAATATTAGACCCTTGTTAGACCAGTAAATAGTGGAAAAACATTTACTATAAAAAAATAAATAAAAGAAAATCCTTCTATAAAGTTAAAACTGTTTCTGAAACTGAGTACATTGGTCCTCAATCTCAAATTTAAATTCTTTATCACTATTTCACACGTAAAACCGTTAAAAATAATATAGGACAGCATGGACACTGTCGGGCACAGCAAAAAATAGAGAAGAGGACGCAGACCTCTCTGCCGTCTCTATCTCTTTCTAATGATGATGGCAAATGATGATCCAAGAAGAAGATTATGAATGATCCAAGATGAGGCTTACTCAAAAATATTTATTAGTAAAAGTGGGGCCCGGAGGCCAATAAGCTATTCACTGAGCTTTCCTCCCGCATCATCGAGGTTACCGGTAACCGAAGGCTGGGTTCTACCTTGAATACCTATCAATTCCCAACTTTTAAGTGACCCCTATGGTAACATATAACAGGAATTTTGTCACTTAAAAATTAGGGATTGATGGTGATAACGAGCTTAAGCCTCGCAATTCAACGCGGAAACGCTGCCAGCCTTCTGGGCACCGCTAACCTCAATGACGGATCTGGGGATACTTAGGATAGCATTAGTGTATTTTTTATTTTATTTTACTTTTGATTTTCTGTAAATATTACTTTTGTATATGTAGTTTTTATTTTTTTAGTTAATTGTAAATAACTGTAAATAAAACAGTTTCTTTCCACGAAAAAAAAAGTAAAAGTAGTTTAGGCATTTTGTTAGAAAATAATATTATTATGTGATGTACTGTGTGGATGTTGTTATCGAATTCCTATCTACATCGGTACTAGCCGGCTACTCACTCTTAATTCCATTCTAACTACGAAGTTAACCGAACAACAAGAATAATAACGAGTTACGAGAGCAGTTTAAAAGCATTCCCATTCTTTATGTAATAGCTTTAATTGATTTTGTATGCGAATGCTTGTTTAGTCTATTGCTTCGATAGGATTGGCGTGCAATGTTTTCGAATCATTCCGACGTGGAACGAGTTTACATTGGCATTTGCAATAAAGCATTGAGTATTGACTGGAAATAATGAATCCCATCAAAAACAATACTTGTCAAAAAAACCAAGTCTCGCAACTCAGTTGTTCTACGGTAAAAAGTTGTGAGATCCATGTAATAGTCCAGGCCAGGAAATCTTTAACGTTTTACATAAATTATTGACTTGGCCATCGCACTAAATAATTTAATTTACACGTGTTTTCATGCGATGGCCAAGTCAATATATTTATGTAAAACGTTAAGGATTTCCTGGCCTGGACTTGGTATTANTAAGTGTATTTTTTATTTAATTTTACTTTTATTTTCTGTAAATATTACTTTTGTATTTAGGTAGTTTTAATTTTTTTAGTTCATTGTAAATAGCTGTAAATAAATAAAGTTTCTTTCCACGGGAAAAAAAAGTAAAAGTAGTTTAGGCGTTTTGTTAGAAAATAATATGTGATGTAGGTACTACTGTGTGATGATGTTGTTATCGAATTCCTATCTACCTCGGTACTAGCCGGCTACTAACTCTTAATTCCATTCTAGCTACGAAGTTAACCGAACAACAAGAGTAATAACGAGTTACGAGAACATTTTAAAAGCATTCCCATTCTTTATGTAATAGCTTTAATTGATTTTGTATGCGAATGCTTGTTTAGTCTATTGCTCTGATAGGATTGGCGTGCAATGTTTTCGAATTATTCCGACGTGGAACGAGTTTACATTGGCATTTGCAATAGAGTATTGAGTATTGACTGGAAATAGTGAATAGTATGATTGTGTTGGTAGTTTAAACTTTTAAAGCTGGATTGCACTATCTTACATTTAACTATAAAATCAATATCCATATAAAACACCGGTTAAGATTAGGACTACGATTAAAGTATGGTGGTGCAACTTAGGCTAATCTATACTTATAATAAATCTGTAGAGAGGTCAATTCTGTACATGAAATATATTTTCAAAATAACTATCAGGGGGTGATAAGTGATCGATACTGATGCCAAAAATTCAATCAGTAAAATTTTTGTCCGTCTGTCTGTCTGTATGTTCCTTATAGAAACAAAAACTGCTCGACGGATTTTAACGAAACTTGGTACATTTGTTCTTCATACTCCTAGGCAGGTTATAGTATACTTAGGAATTCCCACGGGAACGGGAATTAGCGGGAAAATCATTTTGTATGAAAAATCTAAACCGCTTAAATTAGACGCTTGAAATTTGGCATGCAGGTACCTTAGTAAACTTAAAGCTTAGTTACAACAGGATATTGCAAAATTCCCACGCGAACGGGAGTTAGCGGGAAAAAAATTGTATGAAAAAATCTAAACCGCGTAAGGTAGATGAAGGGGGTAAAACGGGATCCACGCGTACGAAGTCGCGGGCGGCCGCTAGTTTTAAATAATGTGAGTTATGAGATTGCTTCTTCATCAGTTGATCTTAAAGCAGAAAACAATTTAAAAGCATAAATAATTCGTGAATTCATCAAAAGTTTTGTCTCCATGTTTATAGTTGACTTCATTTAATTTTCCATTAAAAACGTTATTTAATTAATTTGTCTGTAAAGTTTTTTTATTAAAATTTAAAAAGAGCGAGCTTTTTGGTTGACTTTTTTGGTAATAAGTACCTATTATTTATAATACTTTTTAAAAGTGTTTTCAGTTTAATGTTAGGTCATCATAATTAGATATCAAATTGGGACGCGCATTATTTCACACAACTGAGCGAGCGACTCACGCGGAATTTGCCTTTTTATTTGTCACGGAGGAAATGCTTTCCGCACCGTCACCACTGCCTGGGAGAAAGGGTGGTATGTGGCTCCTGGCNGGGCACTGCCGTGCCCCCAGATAGTTTGATTGTGTTTGTAGTTTAAAGCTGGACTGCACTGTCTTACATTTAACTATAAAATCAATATCTATATAAAACATCGGTTAAGATTAGGATTATATACGATTAATATGGTGGTGCAACTTAGGCTAATTTTAAATAATGTGAGTAATGAGATTGCTTCTTCATCAGTTGATCTTAAAGCAAAAAACAATTTAAAAGCTGATAATTGGTGAATTCACCCAAAGTTTTGTTTTCAGTTGACATCATTCAATGTTCCATTACAAACGTTTTTTAATTAATTTGTCTGCAAAGTTTTTTGATTAAAATTTAAAAAGAGCGAGGTTTTTGGTTGACTTTTTAGGTAATATTATTATAATACTTTTTAAGTATTTTCAGTTTAATGTTAGGTCATCATAATTAGATATCAAATTGGGACGCGCATTATTTCACACAACTGAGCGAGCGACTCACGCGGAATTTGCCTTTTTATTTGTCACGGAGGAAATGCTTTGTGCACCGTCACCACTGCCTGGGGAAAGGGTGGTATGTGGGACTCCTGGCTCTCTAAAAAAGACGGGGTATACCCACTAAAACCTCCGCGGCGTTCCGTCATCGCCCGAGTGGGAGTGTCGCGAGTATCCGGCCGTAGCCTACCTAAAGCTACAGCTCTTTAGCCACCTCGTAAAGAAGAAGATGAAGAAGAACTGTGTCTTCCGCAGGTTCAGGCTGGAGCTGCAGCAGTACCAGCGCAAAGTAGTGCTGGCGGTCAAGAGGGGCTGGGACGGAGGTCGTTCTTCACGCCAGTGGAGCTTCTCATCCGCCTTCCTCTACTCGCTCACCGTCATCACCACCATAGGTTAGTAATATGTAATACCATATTATTGTTATTATTCTGTGGTAATACTACCGGCTAGGGGACGTAGTGTGAGTTTACGTCAAACGTATTCAAAGTCGACTGTATGACGGACTGTACAGCGCCCCTAGCGGAAACTTTCAAGAATTAAAATCTTCATATATTTTTTAACTCGCTCGCTAGTGACGACGTTTGATGTAAACTCACACTAAGCCTTCAGGTTAGGATGCGCGCTATGATAAAATCTTATCGATGATTTTAGACGACAAATGTATGGGCTTATCGCTTAAAATCAAGTGCGACTAAAGATTATAGAGGAAGGCGCTAATGACTGCGACACAGTCTTTGACTACTGCAGTCATTAACGTTTCAAATTGTCTATGCAAAATTGTAATTGACTACAAATAAAGTTTTATTTATTTATTTAATTTATCGCGGCGTGCATCCTAGGCCTGTCTATCTCCCCATGTATACGACAACATTTCTACGTAAGGTGACCTTCCGAAAGGCACTTGTTCTACAACTTTATAGAAATGTAAAAAAAGATAATGATGATGCAACAGATTATATATATTTTTGTTAAAAAATGGCTTTCATTACATGTTCACTAAGTACTTATAAATACTTAATGTTTAGGTTAATATCCTATCGCCAGCATCGGCAATGTCAAGAATTTTGATAGTATTGTTAGTTGCTTTAGAAAGTATAATAGAGTTTTTGCTTCAATTTGTGTTACACAGACTCGAAGGAAACAACTTTAAGCCTTTGACACACAAGTTTCCAGAAAACTGTTCGCAAACAGTATGCAGTCATGCAACTTCTCCGACTTCGGAAGTATTCAAAATTCCTTTAGAGCGGGTCTAAGAGTCATTAGTCCGTGTGTCTGCGACGAGAACTTTAGACTTTCTACTTTGACACAACTTAAAATAGTACAGAAGGCTTACTCAGATTTTTAAGAGTAGGCGCACACATGTTTTTCGTCGGCCGATAGTTTACCTAGTCGGGCAGTTGATCAGTATGGGCATGAACGGGAGTGCGATTCGATTTGGCTGATTCTTCATACAATTTAAAATCGGGCACAACTATCGGCCAACTAAAAAACAACGGTGTGCGCCTACTCTAATATAACACAATCGCGATGCCGATTCAATTTGGTACATAAGCAATAAAATATTCTGAGGTATTAACTTTGTGGCATGTTGTTAAACTAAATACGTACTTAAAATCGCCTGTATTTTTAAAGAAAGTAGAAGTTTCTTTTTGGCACCAAATTGGAATTGGAAATTCAGTACCTGAATAAGTATTACATTATTTATTACTGAATAAGAAAATAAGAATAGCTACTGTTCTTATTTATATTGTAATTTTAGTTCAGAGCTGATTCAAAGGAAATGTAGAGCAGTATGACGACTTTATATCGGGTCTTAATTGATAGTGAGTCTGCTTTCGAGTAAATATTCGACTTTGCGTTTGAAATGAGGCTTTTAAACGAAAAGGTAGATAGCCATAGAAAAGAGTAGCTACTGATTAATATTATCATGATTCGTAATCATGTATTTGCCAATTAAATTACTCGCACTATGTTTTGATAACTTGAGGGGTGCAAAAAATGGGTGCTGATGATGATGACTGAGAGTATGAAATAAATAAAAGATAGAGAAAAACATCAAGAAGAAGCTGGCAGCGGCTGGATGAAATAACGGAAGATTGTGCTATGAAGTGTTCCATAAAAGAGTAGTGAAATATTATTAGCTGAAATGATAAAATATTTTTGCAGGCTACGGGCACCTGTCTCCAAGGACCGGCTGGGGCAAGGTCACCACCATCCTCTACGCTCTTCTGGGGATGCCGCTGTTCTTGCTGTATCTCAGCAATGTTGGTATGTTTGGTCTTTTACTTGGTAAAACATTCACCCTTTCTATCCGGTATTTGTTCCTCCCTTATAATATGCTACATAGGCAAAAACACACAGAAAAATTTGTGTAGGTACCTCCTTCTATTTTATGTTTTGTTTGACAGGAGAGCTCCTGGCGCGGTGGTTCAAATGTTTGTATGCGTTGGTGTGTCTCTGCCGTGGATGTCCTGGATTCACTAGGAGGAGGGTCGCACGGCTGCGGGCACAGGTAAAACCCTCAAAACCCGTCAATGGCAATACTGTCTCACATTATTTTGAACTTTATTTCCTTGTGTTAAGCTCCAAAAAATGAAAATGTAGACTTTCTTTTCTGATTGAGGGAATTGGTTCAAGGTGGAGATAAGTGACCCCGAGAGCATAGAGCGGCCGGCGCACTGGAGGGCGCGCTACTCCGACGCCGAGCTCACGCCTGAGAGGTACCAGTTTTTTTATTAGCCCACATAGTGTTGTTATAAATTAACTGATTCTCAAGTATGGAGTAGCGTCAATCTATATTCCAGATTGGTTTGGGATAAATGTAATTTAAATTCAAGCAATACTAAGCTTATATCTAAAATAGACAATGAAAGATTTGTTTTCAGCTACGATTCAACCAATCATATTTTAAACGCTAACTGCTAAATCATTACTGTTCCAATGGTACTCGTAGTCTCGTACAGTCCATAGAGTTAGTTTCATCCAGGAATATTACTCAAAGAAACTCTTTTCTATCCTCTCAGAAGACCAGACTACATCCGCAGCGCATCCGCGCCACAGCCGTGGGATCGACCCGCTCGCTACGACCCGGGCGCGCGTTACGACCCGGGCGCGCGTTACGACCCGGGCGCGCGTTACGACCCGGGCATTCGTTACGACCCGGGCGTAGATGGGTCGGTCGCCGGGCAGAGTGAGGACTCCGTCACCAGCGAGTTTAGTTACGTCACATTCGATGCTCAAACCATCACCGTGCCGATTAGTGTGTGTATTTTTATATTGGTTGGGTAAGTAATGAGTTTTTTAAAATAGTTTTTATACCTATGTAAGTAACTTTTTAATAAATATTTATTTATGTATTGTTTCAGTTACGTAATGTTTGGCTCAATGATTTTCGGGATGTGGGAGAAATGGGATCAATTGGACGGAGCCTACTTCTGCTTCATTTCGCTCAGCAGGTAATTTCCATAATTCATTAGTCATTAATTTGTTACCTCCTACTTTTCCCGTGAATATTGCAATTAACGGACAAATTAATACGTGAACATCTTGCTTCACCAACCCGCCTGTCTAGCGTGAGCAGTGTAGGGTGAAGCATCCATTTGCTCAAGAGAATGTGCTTCTGCAATGGAAACTTATGGACCTAATGAAGATTGCGACAGTTTAACTTAATCAGCATAATCCAGTCTTCACTACAGAAAGGCGACCTTTCATCATCACCCTTGCTTCCAGCATCGGCTTCGGCGATTTCGTGCCGGGCGAACGCATATACGCGGCGCGCATCGAGACATCGTTCATCGTGTGCTCCATGTACCTCATGCTCGGCATGGCGCTCGTGGCCATGACCTTCAACCTCATGCAGGTAAGCAGCTACAAGTGCGAGGGGTTTAAAATTTGTCCAAAATCGCTGGAAAAAAAAAGGCCCGGAGTAGAGGTTTATTTTTCGAATCCCTAGAAGGTTTTGCCGTCGACGTCGTTATTTATAGCTATAATCTTTTTATCGTCATACACAATAACGACTGTGAGAATTTATAGAGTTAAAAGTAAGAAATTCGACTTAAGAGCGTTTACGCGAAGCGCGGCGTTTCAAGGGGCATCATTGGAAATGATTCGCGCGCGGCGTTTTTTAATAGTTTCCAAATGTTTATAGCAAAACAATAACAATGAATTATATATCTTTTCAAAGTAAATATTTTAAAGAAGATGTTATTTTATTATATTAAGCTATTTTTATGTTGAATTAAAGAAGAATAATGGTGTAAAAATCACTTTGATTTTTGGGTATTTCACGTTTTTTTAATTTGTGGTTTCTTATTGTAAAATGCTTAAATCTAAAAATTTTCTCAGATAACTATTTGCCCAAGGATCTATGCTATAGGATATAAATGTTTGTTAAATCGTTTTAACAGTATTTTTATAAAAATTTCAGCTTGTAAAGTGACGCTAAAGTGGAAATTTACAAAACCTGTGTGGACTTATCTTGATAGAATTCTTAAATACTAAACTAATCGCAATATTTTCTCAATTAACTATTTAGACGACGAAATTGCCTAACTATTTATGCCTATAACATATTTGTAATATTACTGGTTAATGATTGTAACGAGTTGAAAAAGTACTGTTTTTGCGCCAATCGGCGTAAACGCTCTTAAATGACTGTCGCAATCGTAACATCTGACTAGATGGCACATAAACGCTATCATCTCGCGATTTGAAGACCACAAATCCAATGAATATCAGATGAGCCAAAGAACGGCTAATAAAATTGTCTTAACGCACTCACACTACGCTTTCAGGAGCAGGTGATCCATTACTTCGCGGCCATTAAGCGCGCGCTCAAGCGCATATGCCGCTGCAAGAGATGACACGGGTGAAGTCTTCGGTCTCCGAGTTGCTGAATGTATAGTTTTTGGAATACACTACTTGAAATAACTATGTTTAAATCTGTTTAATTGTTATACAACCATATCCAGGCCCAGGAAATCAGTTTAGCGAATCAAGAAAAACCAGTAAAACCTTATTTTGCAATATACTGGCAATAAATAAAAGAATCAATAAAGAAGAAATTGATAATTTGGACGTAATTCGAACTTCGAAAATAGTCGCGATGCTTTTAAATAAACAAAAGAAAATCAAAAATAGTGCATGTATTATTTGGTAAACACAATAATTAATTCAGATTTAATACTTAATTATAGACACCTGGTGGATTCCCAATCTGATTTTCAGTAAGTTACAGTAGACCAGAGCCAAGAAAAAAAAGTAGACCATAGACAAATATTAGTGAATTTTGTTTAGTGTGTTTCAAAAGCAAGGAGACTAGCGTAGTATAAAATAGTGTAAATAAATAACGTGTATAAGTTATTGTTATTATGTAGTTTGAAATAAGCATTGTTTTGTATACGAGAGAGTGCTCGAGTGGATAATGAGTTTAGACATAAATAAAGACTATTATTGATGAAGAAAATTGTTGTTCATTCCTCATTTTAGAAAAGGGATCTTCAATCATGTGCAATCCAAATGCATCTAGCTGCATAAAATCTACAACCTACATAAAAACCTAGGTATATCTACCTACAAGGCAAGATAAAACAGAATAAGGACTTACTGCAAATTTTACGTTCTTTTCAGCAATCCGGTTAAAACAGGTGAATGCATAGCGGTCACAAATCCTCTCTGAACATGTTCGGTCTAGCGATTCCTTGCAGCGCACGGGAGCTAAGTAACTGTCCGCGGTAACTATTCCTTACAGGCCCCAGAGATTTAGCTCGTGCTATGGAGACATCATTTTGAAGAAAATGCAGGATGTGCACCTAACGTCTTAGCCTTGGGCATGCTCATGAATTGTGAAGATGTAGAAGGTAGGTAGGAGTCATTGTTCTATGGAAACAATGGGAAATTATATTTCGTATCCTACTAATATTATAAATGCGAAAGTTTGTGTGGATGTCTGGTTGCTTGTTACTCTTTCACGCAAAAACTACTGAAGGGATTTTGTTGAATCTTTACAGTATTATTGTTTATAACCCAGATTCACATATAGGCTATAATTTATGACGATATGTGACAAACTAAATTTCAATAAATAAATAAGACGTGGGTAAAAAGCGCCATCTATCGTCATTGGTTAAAATCTACAGCCAAAAAATTTTGACGTTCGTAAATATTCATGCGGGGGAAGCCGTTAAACCCCATCTATCAACATCATTAGTAATTATATGAGGTCCACGCGTACGAAGTCGCGGGCGGCCGCTAGTTATTAATATTAAGGTATTTATTTAAAAACATTTATAATGAAATGCAAACCCAGTTACACGTGTAATGGTTTTTGTGGGCAGGTGTGACGTCCATGTATAATTAGGTATAAAAAATACATGACATTTTTTCTGTGTCAATGCTATTTAATATGTATAAGCTTATCCCATTTTTACACCTCCAAGACCAAAAATAATATAGGCTTTTTTAGGTCACGTGTTACATGACCCGAACACAGAGGTTAAATTTGCTCTACGAGGGCTGCACTAAAAGTATCGGGAATGTAATATTTCCACTGTTCCAGTCATATTAAAATCTATTTAATTGCAAACTCCAGGGTTTTAAAAATCGTATACCATTTATTTATTTAAAAAAAGATTCTCGGTCGTATCACAAGGTCTTGTCAAACTTGTTTAGTCGTTGAGAAAATGGAATTGACTCGAGAAAATTCAAGAGCGATGATTTATTATGACTTTTGAAGTGGATTTTGCGAATCCCTAGAAGGTTTTACCGTCGACGTCGTAATTTATTGCTCTCTAATCTTTTTATCGTTATACACCATAACGACTGTGAGAATTTGTAGAGTTAAAAGTAAGAAATTCGACTTAAATGACTGTCGTAATCGTATCATCTGACTAGATGGCACATAAACGCAATCATCTCGCGATTTGAAAACCACAAATCCAATGAATATCAGATGAGCCCCAAAACGGCTAATAAAATTGTCTTAACGCACTCACACTACGCTTTCAGGAGCAGGTGATCCATTACTTCGCGGCCATTAAGCGCGCGCTCAAGCGCATATGCCGCTGCAAGAGATGACACGGGTGATGTCTTCTGTCTCCGAGTTGCTGAATGATAGCTTTTGAAATACACTACTTAAAATAACTATGTTTAATTGTTATACAACCATATCCAGGCCCAGGAAATCAGTTTAGAGAGTCAAGAAAAATCAGTAAAACCTTATTTTGCAATATATTGGCAATAAAGAAAAGTTAATAAAGAAGACACTGATAATGTTGACGTAAATCGAATAAAACGCACTTCGAAAATAATTGCGATGCTTTTAAAAAAAACAAAAGAGAATTAAAAAATAGTACAAGTAATTTTGGTAGAGACGTTTAATTAATTCAGACTCAATACCCATAGACAAAAATAAATATTAGTGAATTTTGCGTAGTCTGTTTCAAAAGCAAGGAGACTAGCGTAATTAGTGTAAATAAATAACGTGTATAAGTTATTGTTATTATGTAGTTTGAAATAAGCATTGTTTTGTATACGAGAGAGTGCTCGAGTGGATAACGAATTTAGACATAAATAAAGACTATTATTGATGAAGAAAATTGTGTTGTTCATTCCTCATTTTAGAAAAGGGATCTTCAATCATGTGCAATCCAAATGCATCTAGATGCATAAAATCTACAACCTACATAAAAACCTAGGTACATCTACCTACAAGGCAAGATAAAACAGAATAAGAACTTACTGCAAATTTTACGTTCTTTTCAGCAATCCGGTTAAAACAGGTGAATGCATAGCGGTCACAAATCCTCTGAACATGTTCGGTCTAGCGATTCCTTGCAGCGCACGGGAGCTAAGTAGCTGTCCGCGGTAACTATTCCTTACAGGCCCCAGAGATTTAGCTCGTGCTATGGAGACATCATTTTGAAGAAAATGCAGGATGTGCACCTAACGTCTTAGCCTTGGGCGTGCTCATGAATTATAAAGATGAAGGTAGCTATGTAGAGTCATTATTTTATGGAAACAATGTGAAATTATATTTCGCATTATTAATATTAAGGTATTATTTTAAAAACATTTATAATGAAATGGAAACCCAATTACACGTGTAATGGTTTTTGTGGGCAGGTGTGACGTCCATGTATAATTAGGTATAAACAATACATGACATTTTTTCTGTGTCAATGCTATTTAATATGTATAAGCTTATCCCATTTTTACACCTCCAAGACCAAAAATAATACAGGCCCTTTTTGGTATACGGATACATGACCCAAATTCAGAGGTTAGTTCTATCTTCATTCGAGTTTTTAAAATTTAAACTTAATTCTTAAACTTTCATCACAAGCAGACTGGCGGACGACGCCGCGAGCCGCCAGTCTGCTTGTGACCACGGCTGCAGCATCGCAATCGAAACGTCAAGCCGTGAGTACATAATGTAACTCATTCATAAACGTCGCGTTAAGACCCGTGTCTTACTATTTTAATTAAACTTAATTATTGATATTCAGATAAAACAATTAAATGTCTAAAAATTATTGCCTATTTTGTTCAATCAGGTCTATATTTTTTTCTTTTAAATCAAAATCAAATCAAACTTTTTATTCAGTGCTTAGGTTCTTTCCAGGTCGCTTATACACGCCCCAAATATAGCTTGCCCTACCACACATCGGGTCAACTTAATATAGGCTGGTACTAAGAAGAAGCTTTCGGCTGCCATGCAGTGTGGTAAGTCGTAAGTTAGTCCACCACAATGTAACTTCAAACTAACATTGTGAGCCCAAGAGTTACAGCCACAATAACACTAAAGCCCCCATAATGGCACTTTAAGTTTAAACGCTAAGCGTAATGGGATGACGAGATTTGTGACGCTTTGCCATACTTCTGTGGTTTGATGGATTTACTCAATTAACTTAACAATGTTACTTAATAAAATAAGCAATTCTTGCAGGTATATAACCGCTCTAATGCCCGTTTTGTAACACATAAGGAATTTTGTTTTCAAAGGGGTCACTTAAAATTAGAGATGGTGAAAACGGGCATAAGTGTCATAATAGCATAAATCGTTCGTTCGTTCGTTCGTTTCCTCCTCCAAGGTCGCGGGAAGAGCCTGGATGAGGGCAGCGTAGGACCGTGCATTGTGGAATAGCATAAATATCATCGTAAATATTGCATGCAATTTTTAGGCTCCAATAAACCAGTAGGTTTTAAATTCCCTAAAAGGGAAAATACAAATATTATTACTATTATTAGTATGTACTGCATTATTAAGTTAAAATTGAGCTAGAAATAAAACAAGCGAGCTAACGAACCTATCGGTTCCCTCGTCTGGTTAATAGGGCTCTATCAACCTTTAATTAAGAGATCTTTGTCTCCAAGTTATGGCTGGAAAAGATCGCTCCAGATAGAAAATCAATCCGTGGACTTCGTAGATGGAGCGTTTTTTAAACGCTTAAACTGCGTTTTCAGTCAAAATTAAATTACACTTCTAACCTACCACTTTAAAGTACCTACATAATCAACCACTTAATTATGAAATTTTGTAGTACATTAATGTTCTATTACAATTAATGGCAGGCCTCCCACTAGGTGGACCGACGATCTGTTGAAGGTCGCGGGAGGTGCCTGGATGCGGATGCAGGACCGGTCTTTGTGGAAAACCTTGGGAGGCCTTTGTCCAGTAGTGGACGTCTTTCAGCTGAAACGAACGAACGACAAACATTTTTTTTTGTTTGTCGTTCGTTCAGTCATTGGTTTTGTGATCTTATAAAAATTGCAAATATCTTATTGAAGTTAATTTGTTATTTAAGCAAAGTGTGCTGACAGCAACAAATAGTTAGTAGATAAAAAGTAGTAACTAAACGCTGTTACTAAATTGTGTAGAGCAAACTAAACAACTAAAGCACGCTCGGTTTGTAAGGGCCCTAATGCGAAAGCTTTAATAACTTTGCGAGATGCTCGTAACTATTATAGCGCTAATGAGGGGGCCATTATTGAAAATTATAAAAGTCAAATGACATACAATCTGTTATTGAGAACATGGCTTTTCGTTTTTGGGTTTTCACAACACATAGTCTGAGGGATAAAGAAAATTATGGTAATTTTTAAATAAGAAAACATTTTTCGAATGATGGCAACTTTACTGTTATTTTTAATTAAGTTGTCTCAACACCGTCTGAGATTTTTCCTAAAAATAGAACTAAGTGGATTCTTCGTTATTAAAATGGTTGCAATAGTCCGGCTCGAAGGATCAACAAAAGCTTAAAAAGTATTTTGTAGAAGTTGCCAGCCTCTCAAACCACAATTTAAACTGTTTAAATGAAAGTTATCTGCGAAAGGTTTCCGCGAAACTGATAACTTCCGAAACCTTGGGGATATTTGTTTTGACATCAAAATATAATTTTCATTAGGAAATTCTTCGTTGGGTTACGATATTTATGGCAGATTTAATTT